AATTAAAAGAGATAATCATGAGTTTTACTACCCACATGAAATCCTTGAACACTAGGTTGCCTATCTAACGACCTACTAAAAACTATTTGCAACTATGCTTATAGGAGACGTGTTTGAAGAAAACCCTAGGATTGACTATCCCCCTAGAAGAGATCACTTAGGAACCATAATAAGAATGGTCGTCATAAGATTCATGACCTTGTGAATGAAACCAAAAAGAAAGTCAAGGTAGAAGCCCTAACATGTGAAGGTGTGTATGACCCTAAGATAAGATTTTAGACTATCTTACCCAAATGGATAGATTCTTTAATTGATATCAAATGGATTTCTGTCAAAGAAATACCTTTGCAAAGATAAAATTGATAATCCATGCCAAAATCTATTGGAATAACTCCTTATTAAAAGACAATATTAGGTAAATTCTTCATGACCTTAGTAAAGGCGAAGGAAATGTTGAGGGCTAAATACTACCCTATAAATCATTTTAAAAATAAACCCCGCATGAACAGTTGATGACTTTAAGGCAAGGGAACATGTTGGTAATATACTAAATAAACTCATTTGAGGACCTTATGGCTACGACAATTGTACTAATTAAGATTAACAAGTAGCTAATAAATTCATAATTGGTGTTAGGAGTGACAACAAAAATAAGAAAGAGCTTTAATATCCCTAAATCCTAGAGACGCTTTTCATTATGCTTCACTCCTTAAAAAGCATAAGAAATCCCCATCTAAATTTAAATCAATAGGTCAAATATTCATATACTCTACCTTTCCATTTCATTCCTAAAGGTCACCTATTATACTTAGGCTTTCATCTTTTAGTCCTATCAAAAAATATAACAAATGAACCCTATTCTATGAGAACTAACGAGGTTATTTGCATTAAATGCCACTAAAAGGGGCACTTGAAAAATTCATGTAAAGAAAAAAATATGCTTTAAGATGAAAAGGAGGATGAAGACAAGGAGGAAGATGTAGAGGAGATCTATGATGAAATCTCTTTATTTGATGAAGACATAATTTAGCCTATTAAAGACCAAGTCAATACCAAGAGGTGTGTCATAATGTGATTAAAGATTTGAGCATAAATATGTTTTCAATATTTGTTGTCTATAAGGTTAATAAATTCAAATTGGTTATTTATGAGGGTAGTTGTGTCAATACACACACTTTTAAGAGCTAACCTCAAAGCAGAACCCAATCCAAAGCCATTCACTATGAGTTGGGTAAATCAAACCTTATTACCCTTTTACATTTAGATGCCTAATACCTATTAAGATATGTAGCTTTGAAAGCCATATATGATGTGATGTACATCAAATAGAACATGTACTTTTAGGGAGTACCTGATGATTTGATTGAAATATCATATATTTTTAAAGAGAGAATACTTATCTATTTTAATTCAATGATATAACTTTCAAAATTTGTCCATTTAATCCCATTCAAAAAGTAACCCCAATATCTCCAAGCAAATTACTCTCTACACCCTACAATCCTAAATTAGACATATAGCCTAAACATCAACAAACCAAGAATTTAATGCGTCAATCGAGTATGGTTAGATTGTATCTTACTGTGGAAATAATCTATGGTTATAATCTAAAAAACGAATTGATCTTTCTAACATACCATCACATTAACCTTTATTAAAAAATTAAATCCTTAACGATAATGTTAGGCAATAATTAGAAGTGAATAATATAAAATATACTGATGCAACAAATAAAAATGATTTTTTTTAAGAATATAAAATTGGAGATCATGTATTGATTATGATCCAACCTAAGAGATGTCCCTATAGAAAAAAAAAAAAAGAGATGTCCCTATATTAAATTTATAAAATTATAAGCATGGGCATGTGGACCACTTAAAAATATTAGAAAACTTGGCCCAAATGCATATGTTATTGAATTGTTAAAAGACATATTTATCAGCCTTTTTTATGTAGAGGATTTGATATCATATAAAGATGTTAGAAAATCCCCAAGTGTGTCAAAACCATCACTTGCAAGTGACAACCCAACATTATTTCTTTAAGGTTGATCATATCACTACAAATGAGGTACCAACAAATTAAGAGGAATAGCCTAAGTTCTTATGAGGTCGAAGAATAAACCACCTACAAAGGACATTAAATTATCATAGCTAACTTGGTGAAGCTTGCACTATAGCTTATGGAGATTTACCATAACTTCAACTTTCAAAGAAGAGTTTTTGAGGCCCTGCGGAAATTAATGTAGCATTGGATATCCATCTATAAATAGATAGGCCAATGGCTATAGCCTAAAGGGAGAAGGATGCTGAGAGAATGTAAGAACTAATGACTAGGAGAAAAACTATTAAATCAAACTTTAAGTTATTTTTAAGAATGTGTTAAGTGTTATAAGCGACTATGACATGATGATTTTGAGTTGGAGTAATAATTAGAAAGTAAAAGTGAGAAATTCAATTCTTTTAAAATTTGAAATTAAAAAATTTTGAATTTTGTATTTTGAAAACTTGGAGGGAATGGTTAATGTTTTAAGTGCATATGTTTAATTGAATGAATAAACTAAGATTAAATATTGGCCCATGATTTGTTGGCCAGCCAAGTTAGGATGATGGGGATAATTATAAGTAGTTATACTCTCTCCAACACAAAACTGGTCGGACCCTCACTTTTTTTTCTTTATTTTGTACCCATTTCAAACTTTAATGTTGTAACTATTAAAACATCATAAAATGAAGAAGAAAAGTTTTTTTTTTTGTGTTTAAGAAATTAAAATTTCACCCAAAAAGAGGAGTGGTGGTTAGCCCTTTATATGAATAGATTTGGTGATATCTTCAACCTTGCTTCTCTGATGAGTACAAAATCTATGTTATTTTTACTTATTATTATTATTATTACTGTAGAATTGTTCTACTATTACCCCCCTCACAATGTCATATCAATTTTCTAGTATTCTTCCCACAAAATTGAATCCAAAACCCTTTATAAATATGTCATCCTAAATTAAAGTGAACTAACATAGTTGGAATATAGCCCCCATTTTACCCATAGAAAATCATGGGAATTTGATAAAAATAAAAATAAAAAATACTCCTCTTTTATCAAAGTTTTTTCAAGTCCTAAAAGTACTACAAATTGAAGCCCTATAAGCCTAAACCCTACTTGCCATAATTTGGCCAAAATTGACACCCATGCATATCACCTTCTCTTTGCATGGAACTTGAACACCACCTCATTTAAACTCTTCTCAAGACTTACCCATCATCTCTAACATAATTTGGAATATTCTAATGGCCAAAACAGGAAACCATCAATGGCTAAATCATTGGCGTCCATACAACTGAGTGTGATAAAATAGAATCCTAATTGCTCTCCTCTATACTCCAAATTGTGCTAAATTAGAGGGAGTGTCACTCTTAATAAAACACTAAGACAAAGGTTAAGGGTAAAATCACAAATGAAGGCTTTGCATTAAGATTGGGTCATTCATCCCACAAATCTTTATGCAAGCCTATGGATGTCTCATTATCCTCCTAAAATCATGGAAGAATGATAAATAAATTTAATTTAAGACTTCTTGATGAATATGCCGGCTATACCAGTTAAGAAGATAAAAATCTTCATGAATTACTTGATTTTAAGACAACTCTACTTGCTTCATGTGACCAATCCAAATTTTTATGCATTTGAAAGATTTTAACCTTATTTTATTTCTATTTTTTTCTTTTCTTTGTATTAGGATAAGTCATTAATCCATAGAATAAGATTTTATTGGCACATAAGACTTTCCAAAGTTGTTTAGACTTGAAAAATACCTATAAATACGATTTTGATTTGTGGTTTTTGATTCATTGAATAAAATTTATTTTTATTTATGTAAATTTAATATGAAAAATCTTGATAGCTATTGTACTCTTTGTTGAAGTTTCGTGGTTGAATCTCTAGAGCTTTAGTGAGTCCTTAGTTATATTTTCTTACCATTATTCCTCATTTTAGGAATAATTTTCATCTCTTTTACATAGTCTTGAGTCTAGCTTCGTTCAACCACAAAATCCATCCAGCCTATTCTAAACACTCTTAAATATTCACACACATCCTTCATAACATTTAAAGGCCTCGATTACCAACACTCTACAATATCATAGTCAAAATCCTAATATATAAAGATATTTTTTTGTTGTGAACAATCAAATTAAAAATAACATATATCCTTGACAGCTAATTCAAAGCCTATAAAAACACAATTAGTTTTGTAACATCCAAAATCATTGATATAGGTATTTGTTAGTGATTGGATCTTTGGTTTGCAGACTTCTTCCCTTTGGCCCTACTTTCGGTTCGAAGAAAGATCCCTTTGTGGAGTATATGTGGGCTTCGATAGAGAATTTTATGATATGGGCTTCGATAGAGAATTTTATAATACGAGCAACCAAATTAAAAATATCACAGCTCCTTATAAACTAAAAATCTAATAAAAACATCATTATTAGTTCCATAAAATCCTAAACCTTTGATTTGGAGTGTTCAAGGTAGGTTTGATGAGTGTTTTATGCAATTGGCCCAACTTTCAGTTCGGGGCAAGATATCTTTGCGGAGTATTTCAGGGCAAGTCGAGAAGGACAGGCTCTTACGATGGATGGCTCATGTCGATTGAGTCTATAGAGATGAGTCTTTCGGTCTTGTTAGGGTCCTCCTAAGGCTCACAATTCTTAGGCCACTTTAATTGTAACTCATGGTACACATGACGACAAATAGCCTAACTAGCCCTTAATCAATACTTTGCTGCTTAGGTGATTTCTGCCAAGAAGATAACAGAACGAGATCTAATTAACTATTTGCAGCATGTAATGCAAATAGTTAAGATCATGTTTCAATTCTTTTATGTGAGAATGTTTCTTGTTTACTATTTTCAGAATATTTTCTGGAGAAAAATAACACTGTCGAACAATCAAGTTTTTATAGGGTTTGTTTATTATGCAATCCATGTTCAACTTCTTATGAACTGAACAAAATTAAGCATTTTCATTTTTTGAATTGCCAGGCAGTGTCACAAATCTCACAACAAACTGTATCAAATGCAACTTCTAGCCTTAAAGGGATTGCTCAAAAATCTCAGTTTATTTTTCATAAGAACTTTACCAAATTTTTTCATAAGAACTAAAAAAAGAAAAAAAAAGTTTTATTCTACGCCATATGAGTTCTTATCTTCTTCCCGACGAACATTCTGTGAGAAATACCCGAATTAGTAGCTAGCAGGTACTCGTTCACTCCCAGTCGTCGTCGATTAACTGGCCGTCCTCCTCCTCTTTAGGCGGCCTCACCACCAGCACCACCGCCCCAAGCGCCTCTGTCTTCATCCCCATTTCCAAAAGCTTCTTCCCTCTCTCCACCGTCAACCCATTCTCTTTCTTCCAATCTCTAACCAAATATAACTCATCCACCTCCTTCTCCACCTCATTCCTCTTCCTATCCACAATCAACAACACCGCCTCCTCCTTCGCCCATCTATTTTTCCTCCACGGCAACACTCTCCCATCCAGAAACTCCACCGCCACCCCTCCCTTCTTCCCCACCTCTGCTGCCGGTCCCCACCCGGGAAGCACAACCCACCTCCCCCATCTCCTCTCCGCATTAACCACCCCCATCGCACCTTCCAATTTACACAACGCTGGTGCAGCCTCCACTTCCTCCCCCCCTTCTTCCGCTCGACAAACCGGTAGTAGCACCACCGATGAAGCCTCAGCAACTTCCCCGTACCTCAGCCTCACCACCGGCACAATCGCCGACGCTGCCTTCTCCATCTCCTCCTCCGTAGGCTCCCCCTTCCTCCGCTTCTCCAGCTCCTCCGTAATCCTCCTCCTCGCACTGTCCGATTCAGCCTCCTCCAACGCCTTCTCCAGAGCTGCCACGCGATCCCCGTCCGTTATTGCCTCCCGGCTCAGCCTAAAGTCCAAGTAAGCCAGGCAATCTCCAGGGGAAGCAGCAGAGAAGCACTTCCATCCCTCTTCACCCCTGCGGCGAGAAAAATCTTTAATGGCTCGTGCGAGCTCCTGAGCAGCCTTAGGGTCGAGGCGATGGTGGACCACATGGCAAGCAGCGGCCGCACGCTGTGCGGCATTCAGGAGGCGGAGCTCGTAGAGGAGATCGGCGCCTGAGGAAGCGTCAAAGAAGGTTAGTATGTCGGTTGGGAAGGCGGGCAAGAGGAGAGACTCCCGCACTTGGGAAGCGACGGCAAAGCGATTCTGCTCCACGCCAGTGATTCCAGTGATCTCCTCGATGGAGGGAGGGGTAAATCCGTCACGGGAGAGGGAGGAGATGAGGGGTGCGTACTCATGCCAGAGACCGAGGCGATTGCGGAGGATCTCGAGGCGTTCTGCGGGGCCGAGGGAGCGGTACTTGGCAGGGAGAGGGGACGGAGGAGGGCGGAAAGGCTGGTAGAGCTCTCCCGGAGGCTTCGTTGGCGGGGCTGAGGGGATCCTGCGTATGGCGGAGATGGGGCGGAGGCTTTGGTTGGATGGGGAAGCAACTCGCCGGCGGAAGCGGCAGTGGTTGGGTAAGCGGGGGGTAGGCTTCTGTAGGCTTAGGGAGAGGATTGCCATGGAGCTGAGGGAATAAAACCGGAGGTGAGACTGGCCTTATCGTTTACGGATTGGGGGTTATAAACGGACTAATTTACCCTCGGGATTTTCTTCGATGTTGTTTTATATAAGTTGTTATTTAAAAAAAGAAAATTTTATCTATATACCAAGCCATTGAAAATCGAACCAGACAATGAATCGGAAGAAGGAGAGCTTCACGGTTCGACCGGTTCAACCGGTCTAATCGGGGTCAAACCGGATAACGTAATAAATAATAAATATTATTAAAATTTAATAAAATTAACATAATAATAATGTTATCATCAAAGTTTGAGGCAAAAAATTAAATTAAAAAAAAAACTATGAAACATAAATTTTATATAATTAAGTAAAAGAAATATATTAAAATCTCAAATAAAAGAGATAAAAAATAATTAATTAAAATTTTTATTTAAAAATAGTTTTTATATGCATTATATATGTTATGAGTTCATTTACATCTCAACTCTTTTCTTTAGTCCCACACCACTTGAGAAGACTTTCTTGCTAGTGTTTACATAGCATTTTGAGTTCTCTTGTGTTAAGAGCTCACATGGTACCACCACTCCATGTGAAATGCTTCATGATGATTTGGAGATAAATGTTTTATAATAAAAGATATATTATTATTAATTAAAATTTTTAAATATATGTTAAATTATTTATTTAAAAAATATTTAAATTTTTTTAAACCCTAAACCCTAATAATAGTGTGTTTAATTTAATTTAAGAGTTTTAATATTAATATTTATATTGATAATGATTAAGTTTAATATTTATTTAATATTATATAATTTATTTAACTAATATTAATAAAAAAACTTGAACCGGCCGATTTTAAAAAATTGGGACCGGTTCACTGGTTGAACCGGCGGTTCTACCCAAAACCGGCAGGTTCAATGTGAAGGCGGTTTTCAAATTTGACCGGACCGGCCCTTAACCCGGTTCACGGTTGAACCGGTCGGTGGTCCGATCCAATTTTTAAAGCACTGCTATATACAATAAAATTTTTGTATAGTTATTGTTGCGTCCAGGAGTATTCGCGGCGGTAGAGAAATATAAAGTTTAACGCCTTAGCGTTGTACAAAAATCATACACACAATCAGATAAGAGAAAAGGTTTAGAATTTATGAGACACCAAGATTTTTACGTGAAAAACCCTTAAAAAAAGAGAAAAACCACGGAGCCTAACCCAGTTTGAATGAATTCACTAGTATTGTAGTCGATTACAAATGAGACCCTTCCTTGGGGGAAGGCCTGGGCTCGATGTACATTATATGAAGTACATTACATGTTGGAAATACAAAGAGTCACTGTTGATGTGTTCATTTGGTCGGGAGGACCATAGTCTGGTGACGGAGGTCAGAAGAATGTAGTTTGCGAACGACTTCAGTCAGGAGGACCGTAGTCGGCTAGCGACGGAGGTCGGAAGGACTGTAGTCGGTAGGCGATGTAAGTCAGAAGGACTATAGTCGGCGGGCGACATAAGTAAGGAGGACCGTAGTCGACGGGCAAATGAGGTCGGATAGACTGTAATTGATGGACGATGTAAGTCAGCAGGACCGTAGTCGGCTGGCGACGTAGGTCGAAAAGACTGTAGTTGGTGGCCTACATAAGTCAGAAGGATAGTAGTCGGCGAGCGACATAAGTCAGGAGGACCGTAGTCGGCTAGCGACGGAGGTCCGAAGGACCGCTGTCTTGCGACGGAGGCTGGAAGGACTGTGTCTGACGATGAAGGTAAGAAGGACGGCGTCAGGTAGAAGTCCAACAATGGAAATAAATCCATCTTCGGATATACGTCCAGCCAAAGTTCGATAACCGGTAGAAGTTTAGCATCGAGTAGAAACTTGGCGAAGAGTGAAGGCCCAACGTCGGGTAGAAGTCCTACGTCTGTTGGTGGCCGAGGAGAACTCTGGCATCACTTGGGCGGAGTTTCAGCATCAGGAGGGAACTCTATTGTTAATTGGGAAGAATTTCAGCATCCCGTGGAACTTGGGCAAAAATCTAGCGTCTCATGGAAGTCGGGCAGAATTCCAGCATCATTTGGTGTTCGGGCGGAACTCCGACGGTGGTCGAGGTGGAGTCTCTTCCCTCCTATTCTTCTATTCTTCTTCCCCTCCTTCTAGCTTCGGTCCCCTCTTAAGAGAAATGTGGGGTCTATTTATAGATTTTTTAGAGTGGCATGGCCTATAAATAGATGAGAGATTAGGGGCAAATATGGAGTGGTTAGAATGTATGGTCGATATTGAATCCTTTGATCGTTGATTGTTTATCAGGCATTTGAAGGTCTTAATGACTTCAGAATTTCGAGATCTTAGGCTCATTGAATTTGCCTCGTCGAGCCACTCGATACAACCATAAGCTCATCAAGTTCGGAGACTATTTGGTAACTCAAATTGTGGTACTAACTGTCCAACAGTGCTTCAGGTCCATAATTTGGACTCAATTCAGCTCGGATTGAGTTGAATTTGGTGTCGTTTAGTTCGTATTTCTGGGACGCTCAGTTTGACTATATATTTGCTGAAATCAGAGTTCAAGTTATCCCGATTTAATTTTTGAAGCTTCCGGCTTGATTTTGCCTCGAGATTCGTGTCCAATCAAAATAATTTCTTGATGACATATTAGTTGCCCCCTATTTTCAGATGTTGAAGCTCTAAGAGTTCGAAAATATATGTGTCAACAATTTGCATTAGCCGAATTGTAAAAAATTGTGTTCCAGAAGTTGAACATTTGCACAAACTTGCTCATAAAGGCCCTGTTGAGCTTTGAAAATGTCAAAATTGAGTCCGGAACATCGAAAATCATGTTCGGGGACCCCAAAAATTTTAAATTTGGACCGTCTGGGCCGAAAATCGAAAAATAAGCATGGGCGGCCAAACAGGTCTGCCGCCGTCGGCGCAGGCGAGCGCGACACGCGAATAGGCGCGCCCCTCCTGGGCGAACGGTTTAGCAGGCGATTAGTGATATTTAAATTTTTTTTTTAAATTGTGTGGGGCTCCAAAATTCTGAAAAAAAAAACCCAAAAAAATCTAAAAAATTCTGAAAATTTTGAAAATCCCAGAAAACACTAGAAACTTCCCCTTTCTCCTAAAAAAAAACTATAAATGGATCCCCAAGGCCAAGACAAAAATTGCACCTTCTTCTTTTCTCCTTATTTCTTTCTAACAGTGAGGCTTCCAGCTGTTTTTTAGTAGGTGACTTTCCCGAATTGATTTGGTGCCCCTCCTCTTGTACATAAGTTAGAAATTTCCCTTTTTTCTTATTCTAGATTTCTGATAGTTGAGGCATTTCGCTATTTTTCAGTAGGTGACTTTCCCTACTTAATTCAGCACCCCTCCCCTCGTACAGAAGTTGGAATTTTTCCAATCTTTCTCCTTCTTTCTCCCATGTTTTTTTTCTTGCTATAGAGGTCTTCCGCTGTTTTTCGTAGGTGATTTTTCCTACTTAAATCGGCACCCCTCTTTTAGTGTAGAAGAAATTTTTTTTTGCAACCTTTTCTTTTCTTTCTCCTCTCGCATTCTGACTTTCTAATAAGGGAGGCATTCCACTTTTTTTGTAGGTGATTTTCCCTACGTAAAATCAGTGCCCCTCTTCGTGTGTAGAGGTTGGAATTTTTGTAGCAGTTTCTTTTTTTTTCCCACCCGCGTTCTGACATTCTAACAGGGGAGGCATTCCATTGTTTTTCATAGGTGATTTTTCCTACGCAAAATCAGTGCCCATCTTCGAGTGTAGAGGTTGAAATTTTGCAATCGTTTCTTTTCTTTCTCCTCATTTGTTTTAACTTCTTACAGTTGAGACATTCCCCTACTTTGGTAGGTGGCATCCCCTACCCAATTCAGGGCCTCTCTCCTTGTGTAGAAGTTGAACTTTTTTTTATAGCCACTTCTCTTCTTCCCTTTTATTCTTCTTCTTACATTAGAGGCATTCCACTATCAGAGATAAGTGGCATTCCCCTATCAAGCTTCAGTGCCCCTCTTTTGTGTAGAAGGAGAATTTTTCTTTGTTCTTTGCTTGTGCTCTTCTTCTTGCATTGGAGACATTCCAATGTTGGAGATAGGTGGCATTCCCCTATTAAGCTTCAGTGCCCCTCTATTGTGTAGAAGAATTAGGCATGACAGGCTATCTTCTAAATATACAACACATGACAGAAGGAGATCAATTGTTGTTTGTATGCGAGGGTGATTTGAGAAGACCTGGCAGTGATACTGTCCTGGAGGAGAACCATAAGTGACGAGTAGACAAGAGATTTTTCATCGCAATTTGAGCGAAAGTCTGTTAGTGATGGACGATCCAGTTGAAGCCCATTAGCAGTCAACAATCGAGTGTAGAGCTGAAGGAGAGAGTTTAAGGGTGCGCTGCAAGTAGCAGTCAAGTGAGAAGTCAATAATGGCTGATATGAAGTGAAGGACCGCAGACAAATATCAGACGAATGGCCAATCATGGTGGCAGTCTAGTGGCATTTTACAATTTTGTTATGTATCCATACTGAAATATACATACATCATATATCCTTTAATAATTGGTGTATATTGTCAGCATTTTAGAGACACACTAATAGTGTCAATTGAGTTGAGGCATGATGAAGACCAAATTATAATCTTTCTCTAAAGAAGAAGTTATATGCGATACTTGTGTGCAGTAGAGAAGAAGTCACTTAAATCCACTAAGGATTTTTTATTATTTTGAAGTTATTTGTTGTTTGATGATAGTAACTTGTATAAATGATGCCAATGTACTTTTGATTTTAGCTTGAGAATAAATGTACACTTGAACTTGATGTACAATTTTGCAATGTAACTCCAGTAATATTTTATATGAAGTTGAAAAGTTATTCTCAAAGGAAGTTGAATTATTTATGCATCTTTGAGGCATAATTTGATATATTGCATAATATACTTTTTTGAAGCTTTTTAGCCTGCTAAGAATCTCTGTAGAAGATGCCGAGAGAATCCACAATAGATGTGAGACCTATCCGAGGTTATATATCGGAGCCTTTGCTCGACGACGTTAACCTGTATGGAAG